CCCATCCCTTCCCTTTAAAAGGGTCATTTTTCCATTCTCACAAGTAATAAGGACACTACAGAAGCCATGTAAATCAGATGTTATACTCTTCAGTTTAGATCATTCTGTGTTGATAATTACTGTTGATTTAAACAAAAGACAAACTACAAAGATTCTAAATGGTATGGAAAAAAATTACCGGCAATCACTTCTAATAATCAAAATAATCCATCCGACAAAAACGTAAAAGTGAAATAACATTATGGAATTCTTGAAATGATGCTAACGGATTTAACCTGTTAAGACTGTACTGTCCACATATGACCAGCAGCATATTCAGTGGTCAAACCAAAAGTCATATTTGACTGGACATCTGAACAATATTAAATAATGAAAGCCATGTCTTTAACAAAAGAAAAGATTGCAATTTCTACACAAATTACCACATTTCGGCAGAACACGAATTGAAATAAAATGTATGTTTCAACATTTTTCTTGCCAATGTAGCGGGAGTAATCCTACTTTGTGTGTTCTGGTGAAGCAGCAAAAGTTCTTTCTTTAGGCTACACCTTCACCCAAAGTATGAATATATAGAATATATATTATGTACTCACTTATCTATCACTGGCTTCGCCACATTCAAAAAAATTTCATCCTGATTTGTTTTTTGGTCAAAAACTTTGTCAAATCTGAAGAAAAAAAAAATACACACAGGATTACATTTCATACAAGTAACTAAATAATTGCATAGCTGATCCTGCCACCTCTCCTTCCCTTTTTTATAAAGTAAATCTTTAAAAAATGTTATGCAGAGAAGTCTCTTATTGAAGATAACGCCATATTGGAAAATACGCGGTACATGAGTTGCATAGAAAAAGAAATCATAGTAAGAGCGGAAAATAAATTATGTCTACATTGTACTCAAGCTTGATGTCAGTGTCAACTCCTGACTCCCAACATCACAACATTTGTGACATTATTTTGGCAAAGTCTGTCTCCCATCTTCGCACTCTCTGTGATATCGATCTTCTGAATAGTTTTTATCTATTGTACTAGTAGAACATTTGTTACCAACATGGGTTCAGTGGTTGAAAATACAGCCACTTCCATTTTCTTTAATTCATACCAGAATTCTTTAGCATAAGCAGCTTCAGGGTGATCTTCTTTTTAAACTGCCAACCTGAACACTGTTCACGTGACGTTGTCTATTTTATATCAGCATGGAGGAAGGCAAAAAGAGAAATAGACGAAGCCACACAATATTAAACTTATAAGATCATAACTCATTCAGTGACATTGATAATGATCCTGAATATGTTTTTCCCCCTAAAAATATCATCTAGAGATCTGAAACTAGTGATGCATCTTCATCAAAACCAGCTGCTTAAGTTAGATCAAAATAGATAAAGAGACAACAGGTGGCATCCCCCCTCCACATTTTTAGAAGATCTAAGATGACAAAGAATTCCAAAAGGACCAGAAAGAAGGACACTTCAAGAAAACTTCTGCGGAACGGGATAACTCTATTGTCAATCATAAGTAAAGTACTCATTATATTGGAATTAGTGAAAAAGACAAAAGATCCTTTTATCTAAGATTAAGAGACAGCCGAAGCAGGATTCTTAAGACCAGATTACATAGATTCTATATGAATCATAGCAGAGCATCACTGGAATGGAACTCACCAGTTCTAATCAATTTAGTGAGAATGCAGCATCTATTGTGACACATTATGGCTTATGGAAAATTCTCAGTCATTATGATATCTTGGAAAAACAAGACCAATTTAAGAAAAATACAATGATACAAGCTGCAGAGTCATCCACTACAGCCAATTTACCAGTAGCTTCTAGATACACAAGGAGGTGAAACAGGGATACTGTAACCTTTTTTGTTCCTTCTTGCCCTAAACTGGATAATGAAAATGACTACAGACAGAAGAAAGGCATGAATCCAAAGGACATCATAGACCCAACTAAAGAGAACACGGGAATTGAACTCATTTTTCTGTGTGCTACAGTGCAGTGCCTAACAATTACATCAAAGATGCTATGGCTATGCATCTAAGAGACCGGCAGCATTTACTGTGGACCCACTATCAGCTAGTGGTGACAATAAAGAGTGGACAACTAATTTAAGGCCATCCCTCTAATCCCAAGTTTACAGGAACTCCTGAAACTTTATCTTCTTGAAACTGACCCCCTATAAAGAATTTTTTATACGCAACCATTTACTAAACAAATACTTGTGCATGTAATGTTCACTGATAAATGAGACAAAGTCTGTAAAATACATGTAATGTGTAAAAATAGGGTTAAATTAAATATTCATAGCTCCATAACTATTTATGATAATTTGTTTGTATCTAATCAAACCTTTTTCGTGTTGTATTAAATGCAAATTTTTGTGCAGATCTTTTATATAGTACAGAGTGTATGACTTTTCAAACATCTTTCATTTGGCTGGCCCCAATGGATTCATTCTGCTGATATAGGCGGCAGTCAGTGAGTTTAAAAAGATTAAGGTGTCCATGTTATCCTATTGGGTGGCTATTATTTTCGAATTCTAAATGACCACTGAATAAAGTACACTTTTACCTGAATTTATAATTTTCTTTTTTATTGTTGATAAAACCAGATGCGAGTTCTCTTGGAACCACAACTTCCAATCTTGGAAAACCTTCTTCATCCTCATCAATTTCATACAGCTGAAATACAAGAGAAATTAAAAGTGAGGCATCGTGGTAAAATCAGACGCTCTGCAAAATAATGAAATTGAAGAAAACGGCATTTTTCCACCAGTTTGGCATTGTTATTGAAATTTTGCTTTTGGCTCAACACCTTTTCTGTTCAGATGAAAACACATTTCCATGTGAATTTTATTGAAAAACCTTGTTTAAAGGCCACAAAATACGTAATTTTCAGTTTTCAAAGACTCTTAAAAGCTATTGAAGTTACCAAACTTTGGCGGCCATTTTCTCATTAATTTCACCACTGAAACCAGGCTACCCCACCTTCTTGATTATTTCTCCGAACATTCGGGAAAATAAAGCTGAACTCTATTTCTCCGAACGGTTTCCGATCTCGTGATTTTGAGGGTTATTTGCAAGATTTAGGAGTCATCCTTTCATTCTGCCATTCTGCGAGGACTGGGAAGAAGCATTTTTCACATCAAATTCAATTTCTAGAGCTAGAGATTTTTAAATACCTGAATATTCAGATACTTCAGTTGTGGTAGGGGCAACGTTCCCGGACTATACTTCAAAAGGTACAGCGAGAAAACAAGACAGCTCGACCTTGGCAGTAGCCTATTTTGCATTTAGACACCAAGCAAAAACTAATATCCTTCATGTAAAAAAAAAAAATCCCCACACCTTACACACACACACATGCCCACTTACACACACACAGGCATGCACACACACACACACACACACACACACTTAGACACACACACACACTCAATTCGCTTATTATCAACAAATCTCAAGAACTGAAACTGTTCGGAGAAATAGAGTTCAAGTTTATTTTCCCGAACGTTCTGAGAAATAGAGTTCAAGTTTATTTTCCCGAACGTTCGGAGAAATAGAGCCGGCCATTTTTTAAACGAAAGCAAGGCAAATGAATAAGCTTTCAAATGATATCAAAAACTTCACAGGTCCAAAAATTGATGAGGACCTGATTCCACCAGGTCATGACACAAATAGATGTTTCAGAAAAAAATGTTGACACAAAAGTCGCCCTATAATTTTTCTTTTTGATCTTTGAAAAATAGTCAAACCTCATTTGAGCACAAGTCATCCAGGGTTACCAGCAAGAAAGAAATTAAACTTTACAGAGTATAAACAACTAGAAACAATGAACAAGGCGATAAATTTTACAGCCATTACAAATTTTACAAAAGAAAACAATTCCCATAGACAAAATATGTTGATATACTGGATTTCATTTCTAGAAGTATAGGCCACACGATTCATTCATATTTTAGGATAAAATAGATTTGAAAGCATTCATTTAGTGCAAATTAATTTTGAATCCAATGAAGGATACAATTCGCCCCAAAATATGACCCATCACTTCACAATGTAGAAATAAGTACGTGTAGTACTATAAATATAGGAATCATAAAATCAGCAAGAGTATCAAAATTTCAGTTCTCCCCAACCTGCCAAAAAAGGTATCATTGTTGTAATTTGTTACACCTACACATAACACAGCATGCTATAAAGTAAAACACAAAAGCTATGTTTAAAAAAGAAACAGACTTAAATTTTACGAGAAAATGAAGTGATTTGATGGAAGTTTTATCATGGAGAGGATGACCAAATGAAAGCATACTTCATTTTGCTTTCATTATAAAAATCTAATTGTGGTAGGAAAGACTGAACTCACTCTTCAACTTATCGATCGCAAATATAGATTTCCAAACCGGGCGGTTTGTGGATGCTCTGGTCTGGTTTACACCCTCTAACCTATCAAACACCTATCGGCGTGCCGTAGTATATATATATCTCTCCTCTTTTACTTTGTATGTTACTCTCTAGTAACATCTTTCTAATCTTCGGCACTTATGTGACTTGAGTTGCTGGTGCCGTAAAACTCTTTATAAGATTTTCAAAAGAATTGAAAAAAAAATTGCAGTGTGTCAAAAGTATCCCAAATAAATTAATCTACACGCCCTTTGGTTTTTTTTTGTAGAGGGTTTTGCGGTGCTCGCAACTGCATAAGGTCATATGAGCGCCAAGGGGTGGGTGTCAACAGAGAAGTCCTTACAGGGAATCAGACTTACTCTGTTCAC